TTTGAGAATTTCGATAATATCCTAACTTTAAAAATTCGTTTGCAATCATGTACTATCTAAATCCACAAATCGTCTATACCATGTAAAAGTTTGTTTCGAAAACTACATCGTTTTCATATCGAATGGTCCAAACGGATATTAAAAATAGTTAAATATGTATCAAACGTACGCCTCAAAAAAGACGTCTAACTCGTTTTTTGTTTTAAAAAATTCAATTAATTATTATTATTGCACGATAAATTTTACAATATAATTTATATTGTTTCATTCGGAAGTCTTAAATGAAATATGACGTAAATTTTTTAGGGTCCCTACAGATTAAATACAATTTGAATTACTTTCGAATTATATTTGCTTTAAATTTGAATTTCATTTACTTCCTGAATTAAACTTGAATTTTATTTCAATTCATTTAATCTCTATATTCAATTTAATTTACTCAATGTTAGCTCAGCATTTGCCAATAAAATGATAAACAAAACTATACAAGTAACAAAATTTATTTAATAATATTAATAATGATGTAATTATACGACATTTTTAAAGTGTCAAAATACATATAAATTTATTTTCATTGATATTATGTTGTTTATTAAAAAAATTATTTTTAAAATTTTGACCCCACAGTACTAAAGGTCTAGGTCCGCCCCTGGTCATTGATAGAACACTTAGGCACCACCGTTGTTATCCGTCTTGTGAACTTATCTTTTTGAATTTTTGACATTTTGAAACATTGTTTTGAGACTTTTGGGAGCCTAATATAATTAGGAAACCTTCGTATAGCATTCCTTACATTTCATAAATAACATTGAAGAGATTTACAATGAATGGTTATACTTTTCATTTTATATCGAATAATGTTATTTGCAGTCACTTACAGTCGCAGTCGCGCTACTTGTCATACCTATAACGATTAGTGATTTGATATATGAAGTAAAAAAAAAAAAAAAAAAAAAAAAAAAAAAACAAAAAAAAAAAAAAAAAAAAAAAAAAAAAAAAAAAAAAAACTACCATATTAATACACCAAATCACAAATCGTCATGTAAGATGCACGTAAGGCGACTATTGCAGTGAGCGACTATAAATAGCATTATTCTTCTTTATCTATTCATCCGGGTTATAAATTCATGAAGATGTTATATTCTTGACGTTCAGTTATGCTCGCCTCTACATTTTGTCAAGAGGAACGTGTTTATGATATATATTACTTTGAGATATTTGATATAAATTAACATGATAATGAGCAACTCCTATAAGAAATCAAGATATGATTATATTCTATATAATCGTTTTGAAATGATCTTTGTGATGCCCATCTAACGCACCTTCGTAGGTTTTGCAATCGCATAGTGTAATTGACGTGGATATTGTTGCTAAAATTTCCCTTTGTGCAATCGCATGTGATGCCCCTTGTGAGCACAAGGGTCAATTTTCAGTTATGTGCAATTTAGTCCTTGATTCCTGTTTCCTGTTCAGCATAAGTCCTCAGTTAATTTCACTTTAAGCCCTTCAACTTTCAAACTTATCACGTTTGCCCCAAATTCCAGATTCCGGGTTCATCTAACTTCAACCCCTTTTTGTCTGAACTCCCTTCTTCGCTCTTTCTCGCCCAAAATGCTCTTTGTTTAATTATCTAAACAGTAAAAGTACTCTCAAATTTCAACTGTGCCGCTTTAGGGCCAGCGTCAAACGAGTAACAGTGACTATGTTGTTTCATTGAGATTGGAACCAGCAAGGAGGAACAGTGTCTAAGTTGCTCAATGCCACGAGGATTAAAAAGGGGCATGGCCAGTTTAAACATGGGTTTGGTGCATTTTCTTCAAAACTAAAAAAGATAACAAAGTTATTCAAGGAAAAATGATTCTATGCTATATTATTATAAGAATAATGCTACTCGAAGTCACTCACTATTATAGTCGTCCTACTTAGTATACAAGTAACGGTTAGTGATTTGATATATAATGTAAGAAAAAACTACCATATTAACATATCAAATCAAAAATCATCATGTAGGATGTCACGAAGGACGACTATCGCAGTAAGCAACTATGAATAGTATTACTCTTATTATAAGTACGACTAATCTCTAATCAACCAATAATCTTGACTTTTGAATGTTGCCAGCTTCATGGATTCGAAATTAAATTACATAAAGAAGAGAGAGATACAATTAAGTTAATCATTACAAAATCTCCTTGATTTATTAAGAGGATACGAAAGGGATGCTGCTTTACTATTCAAGGATATTATTTAATTCATAGGTTTGCTTTCCAAGGCATACATAATACCTACTACCCTTTGTCCTTTATGAATTTCAAGATTAATTATTTTCATTGAAACTATTAATTATTATAAGTTTCACTGATTGCATGTGTTTGTTAAATCTTGTGAATGGTTCCTTGATTCGAACGAATATAATATGAATAGTTAGCTACATCACGTTTAAACTTTAAAGCATTCTTCATCTCAAAGAATTAATGCTTAAATGGGATTTTTCATAATCGATCAAAGGAGTATATTCAAATGGAAATTGCTATGTGTACAGAACAATTTCCTATAGGGGTCTTATTGAACCCTCACTGTAGGGTTCGGCTCCACATGAAAAAAATAATAAAAAAATATGTCAAGGTTGCAGACCCTGTAAGTGTAGCAGCATTCTATTCAAATTAAGTGGAACTAGTATCTGTTTGACGAGAAGCAAACCTTTGCCGAAATACACAATCCATAGATCAAGCACATTACGTGCTAACAACCTTGACATTGTTCTTGAGAGAAAAATCAAAGACTCAATCTCGATAAGAATGCATAAACGTATGTATCGAAGGGAGCAAAGTCAAAAAAAACATGACGATAGGAATAATTCTATGACTGTATATCTATCACATCTTTGCAACTTGGAATCATTGCTGTAATATTTGTTTCTATGTTCTTGATGAGAATATTGTCTTGGGGCCCAATAATTTTAGAAAATATTTTCACAACTAAAATCCAAAGAGAAAATGTATGTAGTTTTGACGTGAACCATGGAGTATCTGGTACTAATTCATCATTAAACTATGTGATGACAAGGTTGTCTCTATGGGTTGCACGTTGTTTAGTGACACTCTCTCTGCACCGACAGATCAACCTTAATTATTCGTCAGTCATATGCCTCAATGAAGGACATTTCACTGCCCACAATAGGGACATATACGACTCAAATGTGAGAATCTTATGAAAATTTGAACGGTAAATTTACGTGATTGTTTAAGTAACATTCATATACTTTTAATGTTAGAACTTAAACGAGATTGGAATATCATAATGAACCTCAAACAATTAGACTCAATGATCATAGGTCAAACTCGGTACTACTTTAAACGCCTTATTTCCATTCGAGGACACGTGCCTTTACCAATAGGGTTTTCTTCTTGGGCCTTTCGGGAAATGAAATTTATATGTCAATAATTATTCATCACAGGAAAAGAGTTCTTGTACGAAGGTCATTCAATGTAACATGTACATGGCAATCTTTGTAATCATCTCTTAACAAATTATTTAATACTCTTGAATCCCCTCTACCAATCTGCCTTTTTTTTATCTTTTACAAAAAGTTATGAAATTATAGGATATTTTGAAAGTTTCGGAATATTTAAATTCTTCCAATAAAATAACTTTTTTTTTTTTTGAGTCGATGTCTAATGATTCAGTTAGTACATTTACAATTGAGTTGTTAGTTACAAAATTTTATTGAGATCCAAAATAACGTCCAAAATTTTATTCCAATCTGAGGTTCATATGTAGAGTTTAAATAATTTTGCAATACAACATCTACATATTCATAATAGATATTTGGGAGTTGTTAATCATGAGTTTAAATTATAAATACATATAAATAAGTGATGAATAAATGAATAGTACTTATAAATTTTACAAAAATTGCAAATAATTAGCACCCAAAAAAAATTTACTTTAAACACCTTTTAGAGTCTGTTTGAGAGTGATTTTTTCTTCTAAAAAAATTGATTTTTTGATCGTTATTTTATTATTCCAACTGTCATAATGACTTCTTCTTTCACAGGTAAACCTCATTTTTCTACTAATGATCAAAAATTAATTCTCAAAATCACTCTCAAACATACTCTTAATCTTAATCCAATCCCCTTTGCTTTTGGACTTTTTTATTACAAATTAATTTGCTCGATTTTCTCAATCTCACGTGCCATATGGCTTGTGAACACTCTTCCCGTGCATGCTAGTCTACCAAATTTAAAATAGTCTAACATCCAGGATCCCTGCAATCTTATATATCCCACGTTGACTTTTGCATCACAGCCGTCGAATAGTATGCAATTAACACCGACGGCATTTTAATAACGTGGTCCACGTACTCCGAGACGGGGAATTAGTTTCCTTTCTTTTTGTGCATGGACAGCTCTAATTAGTAAATGCATTTAGCTCAACTTAGCTGGAAACTTCAACTTCAGTTCTCTGACTCTGTCAACCACATTAAATTCTATTCTCACTAATTTCATACGTTCCAAGGTTCGATACACGGTATTTGATAATATAAAATGATACCAACTTTAAAAAATGTTAAAATTTTGTTTACTTTGCTGTTTAATTCTGTTGCATATTGCTTATCAAAGACGTCGTAGATTGTAATATACGAGCATTACTCGAGAACAAAGAAAGCTAAAATCTTGTTAATTATGTTATGCAGTTCAATTTTATCTAATACTAGTCATTAGATGGGACATGATTAGACAATATAAAGATAATAATTTACTTTTTATTTTTCTACTTTAATAGAATGAAGAACCATGCTAGGTCATTATCAGACCACACACATATGTAGGTTCCATGTAATTTTATTTAATTTTTAATAAATATGGAGCCCCTGTACAATGAGGGACCCTGTAAAACATCTGTGAGTAATGCCCTGTATACTCTAGAATGAAATGTCATGAGTCCAATTTGTCAAACAAGCCTTTTCGACTTCTCGGTAGATTAGACAATGTGACCTACTTTTTTTTTATTCTTTTAGCCTTTTTATGTTTTTTGAGATTTTTCCTGGGTATTAGCAAGTGGTACAAAAAGCAAGAGGAAAGCCCCCATCTGTATCACAACTTTATGAAGTACCAAAAACAACCCATGATCACTTATTTCCTATTCTGTAAACTAATCAGGTGAAATCCTAGCCCCTTTATTCTCACAATAATTGCAAGATTTGCAATCCAAGTTCTTTTGCTTCCACGCAGCATTGCTTTTGCCCATTGCAAATTTCTCATTGATGTCTTCTGTAGGAGTTTGGGTCGTGTCATAGTCCCGGTGTAGCTGATGATCTTTATAGTTTGGCACAGAGCTTTTTTCCCAAAAAATGAAAATTTGTTGTCTTCCCTTCGGTATTTTCTTCATTGTTCTTCTTTCAGTTCGAGTTTGCACTGCACAACTAGTACCAACAGAAACTAGAATCCTATTCCAAGTTCAACAGCTTCTTGAATATCCACCAGTTCTTCAAAAATGGAGTAACTGGACAAGCTTTTGTTATTTGCCTCAAACCCCTTCTCTTGCTATAATCTGTTCAGACAATCACATAACTGAATTAACAATAGTTGGAAACAAAACCTTTTCTTCTGAGATTCCTAGGTTGTCACCTGGAAAATTCGCAGTTTCTCAGCAAACTTTGTCTGAAAATTTTTCCCTGGATTCATTCTTCACTGTCCTAACTAAGCTTTCAAATTTGAAGAAATTATCGCTTGTTTCATTAGGATTATGGGGGCCATTACCGGCTAAGATTAACCGGTTTCGATCTATTGAAGTTCTTAATATCAGTTCAAATTTCATTTTTGGTACCCTGCCTCCATCAATAGCCACTTTCAAGAATCTAAGAAGCCTTTTCTTGAAGAATAATTTGCTCAATGGAAGTCTTCCTGGTTTGAAAGGCCTACAGGTCCTTGAAGAACTCGATTTGAGTAACAATCTACTCGGGCCCGAATTTCCATCCTTAGGCAACAATCTAATACGTGTCTCGTTTGGAAATAATTCTTTGAGATCTGAAATTCCTTCGGAATTGAAGAAGCTTAATCGACTTCAAGTACTCGATGTTTCTTCCAATAAGCTCGTTGGACCAATCCCTTCGTTCTTGTTTTCTCTGCCATCAATTCAGTTCATCAACCTTTCGAAAAATCAGTTAAGTGGTGCACTTTCAGGCAATGTATCTTGCAATGGGAATCTTACTTTCGTGGATATTTCTAACAACCTTTTGATAGGGAAATTGCCTTCTTGCCTTGCATTGAACTCGAGAAATCGAACGGTCAGTATCGCATGGAATTGTCTGTCGAATTCAACCTCGAAATATCAGCGTCCCTATAAGTTTTGCCACAAGGAAGCATTAGCCGTTGAGCCACCTGCAAGAAACCAGAAGGAGAAATCCACCCTAAAACTTGGCCTTGTTCTTGGTATTATTGGTGGAATTGTCGCAATCTTAGGCCTTATAGGGTTCTTAATCCTTGCCATCTTCAGAAGAGTGCACAGAAATGGTACTGATTATAAATCTGATAGTTTTGTAATTGAGAAGAACGTCGGCGGCGGCTCCCCACTGGTAAATGGAAGTAAGTTCATAACCACATGTATTCATTAGACCCGTCGAAATGTGTCAAAATTTCATCGTATACTTATCAACTCAACTAAACATCGACCAAATATAATTACTGTATAAAGTATTTTTAAAGCCAGTGTTATGTGTTCTAAGTAACGGTAAAAAACTGTAACTCTCACATCCAAGATGAAACCATATAAATCAGTGTTGTCTTCGCTTGTTTTCCTGTTTATTATCACTCTCGTAAGCAAGAATTAGACCTTAATCCTTAACAACAATCCAAAAATAATAATTTCCAGTTTATCATTCAATCTGAGTAAATTTCTATTTTTTATATGTATTTTCTTAGGGTATGTGCCAAGGCCAATGAGGTTGTCATCAATGGGACTTCCACCATACCATGTTTTTACACTGGAGGAAATGGAAGATGCAACAAACAACTTTGACACATCTAATCTGGTGGGAGAAGGATCCGAGGGCCAGGTAAAAAAGTCGGTTTGCCCTACTGAACAGTATAATGAACAAAATTTTCAACTTATTCTCTTTTCTTAATATAATGCTCGGAACTGTAAAGTGAACCTTACCAAACGAGCCAATATTGAAATTATTCTGTATCGATTTCGAATTTTCAACAGCTCTATAAAGGTTGGCTTAGAGATGGATCAGTGGTCCTAGTGAAGTGCCTGAAGCTCAAACAGAGGCATTCACCTCAAGTTCTGCAGCAGCACATGGAAGTCATATCGAAGCTGAGGCATCGGCATTTGGTTAGCGTTCTCGGACACTGCATAACCACGTACCACGACCATCCTAACACGGCTAGCACGGTCTTTATTGTCCTCGAAAACGTCACCAACGGGTCACTGAGAGATTATCTTACTGGTAATCTAAACCTCTGTTTGATAGCCATTCTAAAGAGAAATTGAAGGAAAATGATATATTAAATAGTGATATTTTTGGAGAATGCGTAATTAATCGGATTTATGTGCAGAAAATTTTATTGTATAAATATATAGTTAAAAATGAGAATAAGAAATAAAGATTTTAAATTTAAAGAGAGTAAAACAGGCTAATTAACCTTCTTGTCTGTTAAAAAAGTGAAACCTGATTCCTAATAAATGTATATATTTACGTTTCCCAATTGGCAGATTGGAGAAAGAGGGAAGTTCTGAAATGGCCACAGAGAATGGGGATTGCGATGGGCGTCGCAAGGGGAATCCAATACCTTCATACCGGAGGAGTCCTCGGAAACGACCTCAAAATCGAGATGATCCTGTTGGACGAAAGTCTGACTGCAAAAATTAGCAGCTATAACATATCTTTGCCGTCCAAGGTAATATCACATAGAATCACGGGTTAGAACTTGCAAAACACCAAGCATATTTTGGCATGCAGACTAGACATATTCGTATAACTAGGCTTGAGCAAAAAAATCAAAAAATCGACCAAACCAATCAAATCGAACCGATTCGGGTCAATTCGGATTAGTTTGATATGGATAATTGGTTTGATTTGATTTTTTTTTTTTAAAACAAAACCATAGTAAATCGATTCAGTCATAATTTGAAGTCTCAAACTGAACCGATTCAACCTACTTACATGTTTACAATTTTTTAATTTAAGAAAAACAAAAGTTAAAAGATAAGTCATAATCTCATAACTATATCTCGATTTCCTCCAATCTATAATATTGTCGATAAGTTATAAGATTGAAAATTTTCCTTCACAAGCTCTTTATGTTATACATAGCATTTTTCCCTTACTCGACCAATCAAACTCCATAATACATTAAAAACAAAAACAGAATTTAAGTGGAAACCTTAGCGGAAACCTTAGTACTAAACTGTAATGCTGTCGATAAATTCTGCTGATCTGTTTCTGCTTCAATCCCTATTACTATAAATCACTTCTGCTGGGTGTCTTGAGTAGGGACAATGTAATAAATCATAATACTACAAAGCATTAAAGAAATGAAAGAAGCCAGATATTGATTAATATCGTCATATTTAACACTGTATAACAAGTGTACGCTCAATGGTTAACCTAATAAACAAGATTGCTTCAATAATTCAGTAAAATACAAAACAAATCTATGTTCATTAGTTCCTTCGTGATAAAACTGTAGCTTACATATAAATAAATAAGAAAAAATCTATTCTATCACGAGACAATCTCTCGAGGCTCAAGCGCTTAAAGGAATAAATCTATCTGTCCAAAATAGTGAAAGACATTAGTTTCCAATCAGTGAGAGTTAAATTTATATCTAATTATATGTTTAAACTACAAAATATATACAAATTCTGTAGATGAGAAATCCTTATGAGCTAATCAAAGCCATAAAGGTTCAGGTCCTTTCAGTATCCATGATACATGTTGAATACTAAGCGTAGAAATGTAAAATGGTAGACCATCTTTTCTCGAAAAATGAGATCAGCTAATTGGACCTATGCAGAGACAAACACAAAATCTGCATAAACAGGTATACGAAGACAGAAAAATGGATCAATCCAACCAATCTTCCTCGCTAAGTAACTATGTCATTTTATTTAAAATAGGAAAAAAACTAAATTCGACAAAAGTAACTGGTACACATAATCAATACGATGTAGTGGACTAAATTAGATTGAAAAATGACAAAATCTCACGACTCTGTTCCAATATATAATATGGGATTATCACCAACTCTGCGAACAGGTAACATCGAAATTGGAAAAATTCTCGGAAACAGTTGCCCTTCTCGCCAAACATACTACATAGCACAACAAGCAAGAAAATAGGAAGAAAAGGAGAGAAGAAATTACAAAAGTCAAGAATCCAAAAACAGTCCTGTTTTTTGACTAGCAAACCTCATACTGGAGCAGTGAGCGACTATCTGTTCCATTCATTTTCCACTCCGGATCTGGCATTAGCACGACTTTCACCTTCTGGCCTTATAGAGTTTGCAAACGTATGCCAGCCTAAAAGGTATGGCAAGATATACTGCAAAAAACCATGAGGACCTTATATGGGATGCAGAAAGGGAAATGCGTATGACAACAGTTACTATACGAGGAGATGGGCAACTCAATGCTAGATGCATATGCATGACCTAGTTAAGCTTAAAAGTTAATTTTAAATAACTTTATGCGCCAAACGTGCTCTAAAAGTAAATCTTTACTTCTTCAAAAAGTACTTTATACTTTTATTAGGTTTTATCCAAGCATGCTCCATGATCTTTAACCTTTTCTCTATAAAAAGGAGAACTTGGACGGAAAATCATTTTATCATTTCCATGTACCCTATACGCACAATGGTGGTTACAATGAAGAGTAAGAAGTTAGTATTATCCATAGCTGGAATCCAATTAAATTGACCCAAACCCAGTAGACATCCCCCCACTCCCCCAACTGTGCACGCTTCTTTGTTCTTGTTATTGCTCTTTCATTATATTTTACATTGGAAACTAATCCCAGACGTCTAATATTGGGTAAGCTAGGGTTTTCTTTTTTCCACCATGCTCCACCTATTTATGTTATTTATACTCACTGCAACAGGCAAGGAATACTTTCCCAACAAATCGTAGGAAAAAAATTTAAGGTGACAGAAAAAAACAGCAACTTACATTGAATGTTGATATAAAGACAGCAAACTCTGCCTTCGTAACAGGAATATAAATGCTCTCATCCAAATTTATGAGCTTATTCTGAACACCTTCAAATCATCCAACAAATCAAAAATTTTTAAAAATGGCAATCAAAGAACCTATATATAAAAAAGAGTGAGAACTATTAAAAAAAATTTGTAATGGTTTCATATGAAGAAAGAAATAAAGTAGATGGTAGAGAAAAAGGGAGAAGGAGGAGGAGAAAGGATTACTGAGGTTAAAGAAGTGGCCAGAACCATCTGGCAAGGGTTCCACCTTCAACACTTTTCTGACCCTACCTTCATCACTGCATAAAATAAACCAGAAATAAGCAAACAAACGAGATCTTCCGGAACCATAGATTCTTTATGGGAGACATATCAATAGAAAAAAGGTGCAAAGCTTGCTAAAAAACAACCAGACCAGTAAAGGAAGCTTCTGTGAGATAGTTTGTTTAACTGTTGAGGCCAATTAACAAAATCTAAGTAAATGGTAATTATGGAGTTACAGATAAAGATAAAGTTATAGTTTTAGATAGAAGTTTAAAATAGAGTTTATCCAATTAGATTAGATAAGAATAATTTTGACAATTTGATATAACTCTAGTTTAATATAAGTTCGTTTAATTTTAGCTTCTTTTCAGTTTCTTGCTCTATAAATAAAGGGCTTATTAATTGTATAATTCAATCATTAATTATATTAATTAAATTATTTCATCTTTGCCTCATTTCTTCTTTTCTTTGACCCCCTTTATCTTTGTTGTTTGTTAACAAATTATATGCTCCTGCGTCAATTTGTTATCAAAGCAAGTTGTTTTCCTTTGGCCTACAAATATTTCCTTCTCAAATAAATAAATAAATAATAATAATATTTATTGCAACCAACCTTTTCCATCCAATCCATACACACCCCACCACCCATCCAAACCCTACAACCACCTCCATACACCACCACCCTTAAATATATGAATAAATTGATATCTTCTTTTGCCATCAATTTTTCTCTTCTTCCCTCCCCTTTCTTTTATGTTCCTTATCTTGCTCATTGTCGAAGTTTAAACTAGAGTTTAATTTCAATTAGATGATATAAGATTAGTATTGATATTTGGTTCATAAGAAATATTGCCTCCTTGAGATGAGTTATGATATATATTGCTATCAAAGGTGTAATATCAACATTTGATCAAGACAAAAGATTGATGTCTTTAGAGTATGAAATTCTAATCTACCTCATTGGAGTCGATTGCTCTCGGTTGGGAAAAAAACGATTGAGATACAGATAAAGATAGAGTTATAGTTTGAATAGAAGTTAACAACAAAATTTAATTCCAATTAAATTAGATAAAATTAGTTTTGATATTTTAATACAATTCTATTCTAGTAGAAATGTGTTTAACTTTAGTTTCTTTTCAATTTCTCGCTCTATGAACAAAGGGTTTATTCATTGTAATATTCAATCCTTGATATATGAATAAAAATATTTTTCTACCCTCAACTCTTCTCTTCTTGGACCTTCTCTTTCTTGTTCGCAAACAAATTATGCGCTCCTACATCAAGTAGTCTTCTAAAGACACGTATGCTAACAGCTAAAACTTCAAACTTCTCAACAGTCTCGATATAATACCCGCATCCGAATTTCCGGGTCTAATTATCAAAATTTAAAATTTAGGGGCTCATTTGAGAGTTAATCAACCTTCTAGGACCTTGTAGCAAACTTACCATAAGTGCTAAATTCCACATGTTTTTGATAAAATTCTTGGTCAAACACTTACATAGAAAATTCTTGATTTATGCTTGATTGATTGACGAAACATAAGGTAAAATTGTTGATTTATGCTTGATTGACCAAACATAAGGTAAAATTGTTGACTTATGTTTGATTGATTGATCAAACATAAAGCAAAATACTTGATTTATACTTAATTGATTGACCAAACATAAGGTAAAATTTTTAATTTATGCTTGATTGACCAAACATAAGGTAATGTGTAGTGTGAATGCATAAATGTAGGAATAATGGAGAGATTCTTGCTCATTTCATAAATTTCAAGGGACAAATTCCACCATCATGAAATTTTCCTTAAAGATGCATGCCTAATCTTCTCCTATTTAAATCCCTCATTCACATTCACATGTTATCGCTCACTAGTATTTTTTTTTAGTCCAAATAATATACACGTACACATTCATAAGCCAAGGTGGAAATTGTAGAGGGATCAAGTCTCTATTATTCTTTCATTCAAATTTCACGGTAAGTACATTGCCTATGTTGAATTATTGTTATGTTATGAATTTCAAGAAAATTATTATGGATCCCATATGCTATGATATGATTATAATTATGTTAAGGAGACCAGAGTTTAGTAGCGCTACACATAAGAATTCTCACCACCTATATTCGGTAAATTCTTCTATCTCCATTATGCTGATTATGATTATTATACTTTTTTAAGTTATACACAATAATAATTCATGGCGTCCTTATTGAGATTTTATAAATCTCACCCTATGATAATTCCCCCTTTCAGGCAACTGATGGTTTGAGGCAGTCAACATGAAGATGGCAATGAGACTAGGATTAATAAATTGTGTTGTGTTTAAAACACAACTTTGAATTTTCAAATTTAATTGTTATCTTAGAATTATTTTCTTTCTTTCATTTTTCGCAGTTACATGATAAAACCAAAATTTATTTACTCATTGAAGAAAAAATAAAAATTATTTCATGTTCTTATTTTAGTTCTTATAAAAGAATTAAGTTTTATTTAGTGACTATGGAATAGTCAAGGATTCGGGCCGTCACACTTGATACCTACAGAGCATCAGGGACAAAAAAGGAAACGCTATTTCCAAGGGTTCACTTATCGTATGTTTGGTATGGATAATTAAATAACCCTGTGAAATGTAAGAAAACAAAAATGATGTAAATTATGTTGTCCACCAAACACAAATCCTGGCAAGGAACATTGTAAAGTAGTGCAATAGATATTTAGATACTTGAGGGGCTCTACTGATGCTTGCTAGCATTTTGATAGAAATACAGATAGAGTCATTAGGTACATAGATTCAATCTATGCATGAGATCTTGATAAAAGGAAATCACTTACAGGATACAAGGTTATTACAGAGGCATGTAAGGAGGCTATGTGATTGAAGGGGTTGATTGGTGAAATCAACAAAGACTTGCAAATTTCTCCAATATATTGTGATAGCCCGAGTGCTATTTTTCTGACTAAGAATCATATATTCCATGAGAGAACTAAGCACATTAATGTGAGATATTATTTTGTACATGAGATTGCTCATAGTGATATTGTAGTGAGCAATGTTCACCCCAAGGATAATCTTGCTAATATGATTACAAAACCACTTTCTATTACTAAGTTTGAGCATTGCTTGAACTTGGTGTTTGTCATTGATTGAGTTCATTGAGGCTTGTTTAGAAGAGTGATATTTACTTTGAAGATGTGTTTTGGAATTCCTCGTATTAGAATTTGGTTCAAGATGGAGATTTGTTGTAGTTTGACTCAAATTCTAGTGAGTATTGGAGTTTTGGTTGAGCCTACCGCTAGTTGACCGCTCAACCGATTCTGCATATTTTCTCCGGAGACTTGTTGCTCTTAGGCGATGCCGTTAGCCTGTCGCTCGAGCAACAAAGTTATCCAATCCAGACCCATTTCATGTTTTAACGCATTTTTTTAGCCTCTTATTCATCAACAACTTGATTTCTAATCGAGAATAATGAGATCTTGTTATGAACACAATTACTATTGATTATAGTTAATTTCTCCTCCTCTACCTCTGGTTCTTCTCATCTTGGATTTTCACATAAATCTCGATATTCTTAGTTTGTTTTGTTTATTTCATCATCGTTATTATCTTGCGCTCAATTCATTACAGATGGCCAATAGTTCGGGCTATGAAACACTAGGGCTGCCATTTCCTTACTGGAAAGCAATTGCTAGCTAATTTTTAGGAGAATAATCTCACCTCTTTCCTTTAAAAGGATCGTGAAAAAATTCACAAGAGTCTTTTGCCCCAAGACTGATCAGATGTCCTATTTCCATCACCGACAATGAAAATACCTGGAGATATGCAAAAAGACGTACATTCAGCTAAACAAACACAAATTTGCAGGCCAAGGTCAAGGCAATGCAATCGTAACATCTTTCTCGCATCCTTGTGGTTTCAAAATAGAATATAGCCTCACGTTTTTCTATTACAGAGTAAAAACGTGATTGTTTGTAAAGGATAAGTTTAGGCAAATTTGGAAACATAAAAAATATAACCAATCATTGACGATGACTTGTATTCTTAAGTTATACTACGAAAAGAGGATATCCCAAGAATTAGCACATGTAAACCATGAGTTCCATTTCCAGGAATTCGATTTCAAGTTAACTCTGATCTGTGCTAAAACAGAGATACATTTACACAGATGCCTGCAGACACAAATGCAATGAATGACTAAAAGCTGAAGTATTAGTGACCTGCTTTCGACTCCAATCATATTGGCGAACACCAGCAGCAGGTGCGAACTGTAGCAACACATAACCCTCCTTTGACACTTTGAATGCCCCAGACTGCTCCTTAAACCAACATATTACATATATAAACCACAATATATATATATATATATATTCAAGAACAATGCACTGACTATAACACAAGAACTTGGAACAGGCTTCCAACAATTATTATGAGGACCATACATCCAAAGGATAGAACTCTGGAGGCCGAGGCTCCACTGTAAGAGCAGCTTTCCCTTTGTATACAGAATATCCTACATAAACCCTCGGTGGCAGATGCCCTGTCAGGCACAAAACTCATGGAGTAAATCGAAAATACATGTAATTCGTAATATTACTGCTGATGTATAATTGATAACTGTAACTCAATTTAGTGGGTTGATATAAAAATTAAACCATGGAAAATGAAAACCACCCTGATTCTAAAGGACAAAATTCAGGACAAAAGTTAAATTTGACAGTGTCCTATTCTCTTCTCTCCCAGATGCGCTAGTACGGTAAAACCCTTCAGCAAATAAATTAAAAATTACCCTCTTTACCGCTTCTTAGAAAATTAGTACATTCGATATACATTACACCTAAGCATCGAATTCAAAAGGCAAAAAAACCAAGAAATGCATTAACCCATTTAAGCCGTTACTTTGAAAAGAAAACAAAAGAAAGATCTGGTTTGAAACTAAGAAAATTCAAAATGACGGACGAAAATCACGTTTAAAGAGGGGGGCGGGGGGGAATTCCTTTACATAAACTACCTCTTGTTATACAAATAAGCATTACAAACACTTTTAACGAGCCATAAATTACCCAAAAATCCACATTTAAAGATTAATTTTCAAAAAGCGAAAAAATAAATTCTCATTTCATAAATCAAGTGATAATTAAATTTTAATAATTATAATCTCCGTTTGAGTCACATTATTGTAAAAATGATAATGAAAAATATAATCGTTATAGACCCAATAGAAAATATAAAAAGTGAAATATAGTGACTTGATGTGATAGATAATGATCATATTTTTAATTTTATTGAAGAAATAATGGAACTCAAATAGGGCCGTAATATGTTATGAGTTGCTTAACACAATTTTTGTGATTTGATTTAAAAAACACTTGGTTTTCATTCTTCCTTCTTTGTAAACATATTTATGTTTTATTTTTTTGAAAATTACCAATTCGACCCTTGACCCTTTTCTTTTTCAGGTTGATGCTCGATCAATTTTTAGACCATTGGAATTACCATACGATATAAGCCAAAAACATTTGACCAAAACTAAAGCCTCATTACTCATTGAATTTGTTTAATTCACAATTCCTAATTTCCTTATTTTGCTCATTTGTCTTAATAGGTAACAAATTTGCACTTAAAGGCACCGTGTAAGATTTAATGTTAAAATTTTGTAACAGAGTGGAGTGTAATATTTAAAAACTTAAATAACTATTATCGTTAAAAAAAATTCTTCAATGGCTATTAGCATAATTTCTCAAAACTTTGGTGACCGTTCCCATAATTAACCCTTTTTAGTGTGTAACTTGTAATCAGGTTCAAGACTGTTTTGCGAGAGAAACTTGGGTGGGGCGCCACCTCTGCGGATGGCCCACACACCTCAGGGGGTGTGGTGGTCCACCCGCCGAGGTAGCGCACTCCGTACTACCGCCCTACCTAAATTTTTTTCCTGTGTTTGCGGTATATGTCAAGTTATAAATCCCCATATTTTAAACATGAAACGAATGTTTAGTCTTCACTTGTTCATGTTAATGCATAGATGCTTGATTACCTGTCTCAATGAAAATTTCCACATGTTAAATTATCAAGGAGCTATAGAAAATGGATAAAGTTGAGATTTATAGCAAACTATAGTCTAATGGCTTCTTCTCTTTTAACTCGATTTGTTCTTTGATCTAATGGATATCATGTCGTACCATGAAAGGTTAAGCATCTAGCATGTCGTCGACCCACTGGCTTCACCGTGTAAGTGTGCGACCACGTACATTGTTTGCAAAATTAAGCTCGATTTTTACACGATGAGATGACAACACTAAATTGACTGGTTTAAAGTTGCTTTTTAACCAACATCCAATAAAATTGTGACAGCAGCCTATCTGTCAAACTACCTTGCAAAATCCCCTGTACATGTAGTGAGATCGTTGTTTGCAATATAGTTTTAACAACCAACTCTGACTTCAAAAGCTTCTGGGTATAAAATTAATCAAAACCCACCCACGCAATAATTGTAACTTCTACTTTATCCACTTAAAAAAAAGTACTTTTAAGCATGACCAAACATAACATAAATATGCGGGCAGCAAGAAAGAATCATTCCCGGGGCACCTTACCTCAAAGAATCGTCTGTTTATAGGCGTCTTTGAAATTACGTGGGCTTCATGTTTGCTAATGTCACTTGCACTAAACAGAGAGAGAGGGTAAAAGATTTACTCCACCAGATTCAGCTCCTGTTGACATTACAATCTTCCCCAGTGGGAGTTCAACTTTTTACAGTGACAAGATAATAATGCACTCTCCTGTTCCTTTTGAAGTTATCCAAGGATAATGGACCGATGGTATATACGGGTAAAAGAAAAAAAAATAGTCTGACCACTATGAAAAGAAGCACCATAATCGCTGATCCATTCTATGCTTTACCATTTGGTTTTGGTGATTGGACAAACTTATTGTGATATGGAGAAGCATGAGAACCATTATGGAACGAGAGACTTCTTGGATGAAGCTGACCATTTCTCGAGAATGAGCCCTGCGTTCTAAGGCCATTTCTAGCATTTGGGCTCGATCCCACACGATCAGCTTGCATCGACTGGAAATAGTATGACGAGCTGGCCATATCCTTGAGATTTGGCAGAGGCTTTAAAGCTTCGACAACTTCACTCATTAAAGGCCTTGCTTTGGCATCCCTGTTAAGACAGTGTGCGACCAACTGTGCAGCTTTTTGGGCCCCTTTTATAGAAAAATGACCTTCAAGTCTAGGGTCTATTAGACGATAAAACCGTCTCCTCTCACCCAGATGAGGCCGAGCCCATTCTACAAGGTTATGTTCTCCATTAGGCCGATTTTTGTCCATTGATCTTCTTCCACTGAGTATTTCGAGCAAAACAACACCAAAGCTGTAGACATCACTCTTTGATGTAAGATGCCCTGCATCAGAAGAGTTGTCACAAACCCATATTTTTACCCCCTTTATGACAGAATTATGGAAAACAAAAAAGTTCCGAAGAGTTTACAAATAATGGGAAAAGTGGAAAAACTTAAAAATGCATTGCATAGATGAACCCGAAAATGACCAAGGATGTTTAAGACATACAATATTTAAACTTGAGAATTGAAGCTATGCTAAACAGAAAAATCAAATAGCAAAATCTTTTTATGTGAATGAAAATGGAAAGAAGTGGTAAAAAATCTACCTTTGTTATCATGTTTATCAAATAGCGAAACTTGCGCACTGGTAGTACAGTGGCATTATGAGACATAAACAACAAACTCATTTTCAGGTAAGTTAGCCACACTAGGAAGATAGAGATGCAGTAAGTTCAATGACAAGCACATTTCTCGATAAGCACAAGATATTTGCATGGTATGAGGATTGGAATGACACCTACAAAACTTGCTTGCTTAAAATATGATGCACACATGATACATCACCCCTTGTGGGAAAAATATTTTCCTTAGTAATCCACGATGACACCACCAGGTAGGATGTGGTGCATTTTAAGCTACCGACTGTCCCTGCTCGAGGCTATAGGTCCCTACACATGACGAGGAGTCCGTAGAGTGAAGGAACCTATTAGTTGGCTTGTTCATAATCATGCAACCAAAAGACGTAAAAAAGACACCACCAACACAAAAATTTGGGTTCATTATCCCTTCAAAGAAATTGAAGAAGGAAAGTATCTCATAGTCCCTGACATCTCCAGCAACTAAATCCCTAAAGCCTCTTCATCAAGGCCCACACATTTGACATCACAACAGACAATGTGGGACTCTAGAGGTAGCCCCCACACAGAGAGTAGTACACGGCTCTGATACTTTCAACTTTCCTCCCTCTAAAGCCATTTCTAGCACAACCCACCCCACACACCAAACGGCTCACAGGTTCAAGGCACGATGTCACTATATATCAAACCTTCAAACTTGCAGAAAACCTTTTCTCTCTTAAGTTAATTTCTCCAATATCTTTCTTGCTCTCTTCATCCATTTTTTTCAACCTTGTATATTAGTTACCAATTATCTCTTTTTCATTTGCTGTTTGCATCAAGAAAAGGCAAGACTATAATCAAAGGCATATAAGTGCTACCTGTCATGACATATTCTGGGGCCGCATAACCATACGTTCCCATCACACGGGTGGAAACATGAGTCTTTCCTTCATCCGGAGCATCTTTAGCAAGTCCAAAATCAGAAAGTTTGGAGTTATATTCCTGGAATGAAAAGCTATTAGTTAAGCTACATACACGAGTCAAAAATGTAGTTTGCAAAACACTGGAACTTACAGAATCTAACAGAATATTAGATGTCTTAAAATCACGATATATCACTGGCCGCTCTGCTTCCTCATGAAGAAAAGCAAGACCCTTTGCAGCACCTAAAGCAATTTTCATCCTAATAGACCATGGTAGAGGCAGAGACCCTAGAAACAATAATGGTAAATATGGCCAAACATCAGACATATTAAAAAAATATGTGCAGATAATCACGGTTCAACTACGATAAGAATGAAATGTGAAACAAATGAGAGTAGATAAAACACACTGGTGAAAAATACATTGAAGAATATTAGATACTTACTCCTGAATAAGTGGTTCTCCAAGCTTCCTCTAGGCATGAACTCATACACAAGCAGCCTTTGATCATCTTCAATACAGGATCCTATTAGTTTAACCAAATTAGGATGAATGAGGTCACCAAGGAAATTTACTTCAGCCTGCCAAATAAAAGTTTAATTTAGAATAATTCGACACAAAATAAGAGAAAATAACATAAACAAGAGAGCCATGTTGAGAAAATCAAATAAAGAAAGCATCTAACCAGCCATTCTTTGTGACCTTGAAGCCCGTCGTGATTGAGGATTTTCACAGCAACAGTAAGTCCTGTCCCAGGTTTCACTGGTGCTGTTCCATTCTCTTCAATCCACCCCTTAAATACACAACCGAAACCTCCTTCACCAAGAAGTGATTCTGGTCTAAAATTTCTTGTTGCCAACTTAAGATCATTAAAAGCAAATTTTCGAAGCCGAGAAGAAATTTGAAGTTCCTCTTCGTGTTTGGAGCTGGAAGAATTGCTTTCCGAATTGCTCGTTGTGGAGGAAGAGATTATGGGGGCAACTGGTTGGTCTCTGCTTGTATCATTCATAGTTTTGCTTTCTGCTTACAATCACAATTAAACAGTAGATAAAAATGAGATACAAATTATCATGGTAGCAAAAATCTACACAGGCATTGCCAGGCATCACACATGATATATAGGGTTCCACGTACTCAACCAGTAGATGCAGAAAAGTGTTAGTAACAATGTAAGACCGACAAGAATTTTACTGTATATGCATAACAAGACAAGTGTGAAAAGAATAGCCATATATGTATCGAGTCATATGAGAAAAACCAATTACCAATAATAAAACAACGTGAAAACCACGAATATTAGTATATGAGGTTTAACCTTACCTTGCACAAGATATACAACCGAAACTGTACAGTTTTGAACTATCCAAGTATCCAAAAAATCCATCCAAGACTCTGTAAAACTAGGAATGGATTGACTAATCCAAAAGATTAAAAAAGAACAAAGAAAAATTCTTTAACCTACAGATGTATTTAGCTCTCACAATACTCTGTGTCAAAAGTCCACATCAAACGGCGAGAAGCTATATCTTTCCTTTATAGTTTCTAAATGTAAACTTGGCACAACCTTTTGCACCCCTAAAAAACTCCTAAAATCAGCTCCCAGTAGAATCAACCAGAATATGATTAACATCCTCCCTCGCCTTCTTACATGTTAAAAATCAGCTAATGCATAGTTTCTTCCTCCTCAAGTTATCGGCTATGAAGATGGCTTCTCCGGGAACATTCAGGAGCTTTACCAACCCAAATTACTTTCCAACAGAAAAGCAAAGCATCCAGTTTAAGCATAAGATAATTGACAGTTTTGGTGAAGAATCAGCCGTCACTTGCTCCTCTACAGACCATCTTGTAACCGTCACAATTATGGCCATAATTTAGCAAGAGATTTGGGCTGACTCAACTCCCAGGCCGGACCCTCAGGCACCCCACTCCAAAAGCATAAATTTTTTGTCACACTCCCATGAAAAATCTGAAAATTGTATCTCTAATAGAAACAGAATTCACTGCAATTCTAAAGAGAGAACCAAAAACCTCTTTCAAAGCATTGTCAGCACACCAGGTATCCAACCAAATCTGATTCTCTTCTCCCATCACCCACTTTAGAGCCAATAAATTTAGCCAACCGTAAGGTTCATTATACCCCTTCAAAGTTCAAGCGTATAAGTTAAACTAGGCCCCCTTCTAGCCTGCATTATTTCCCGTTAAATTATAATTCATTTTCCTCTTTCTTCTTATCAACCACGGATTCTCCAATAAAATAATATTACACGTAAACCCAAAAACTTTTACTTCTTTTTTAACCACACATTCTCCAAAAAATTACTATTTCTCTCATTATAATGTAGAATAATGGGGTCCAAATGGGGCACTCGGCGTCTTAGTTCTTAAATTTGCCCGTTCAAATTTTTGCATACATCTTATTTTGTACTAGCATTGTGATAAGTATTACAACTCCAATCACATTATAGTCCAAATTAAATTCATTTGGAAATCAAGAATAGTTCTTATAGTAACACAAACACAATTCACTCTACACAATCCAACCACACTTTGGAAAGTATCTACACATTATCTCCTGTTAGTCATGTACCTAACATTCACATGCATATAAGATAAAATATTACACTGAAAGTGAGTCACCAAGTTCACTGTACTGATATTCTACTAATCAAAGGAAAGGGCAACTATCTTAAGTTTTAACATACTCAACACAATAACTTCTCATCAAGAGGACAAACTAATGAAACAGCAATAAGTTCATTAAATTTTAAAAATAAATCAGAATATTTTAGATACCATTTAACTCCAATAAGAGTATTATAAACTTGTTTACTAAGTTCTGATACACAACCTAGGCTAATGATTGAACTTCAGTACTTCACTTTTCAAATTTTAGAATTGACTAATTGAAAATGCAAGTGGTTAGTACGCACACTTAGATCTCAAACGTTAGCATCTTTAATCAATCTTCCTACGCTGTTGCTAAGTAGTATCCCCACTTCCTCCCCCCTCCCTTCTTTACTTGATCAAACAAAAAACCGCGTGAATATTGAAACTATTTGGAATAATCTCTAATTAGCTAGCAACAAATCCCAGGACAAGCAGATTAACTGGAACTTCCATGAATTCAAAAGTTCAACATTCATTTAAATTCAATATCATCTATCTTATATAGTAGCAGAAACAGAATATTTTGCTCAGGAACTTCTTGTCAAGCAAATAGGAATCATCGTTTTTTACCATATCATATTCAGAAGTAATACCAATACAACTAGCAAATATAGCAATCACATACAACTGCAACATAAAAGAAGACAAAGATACTATTAAGCAAACTCATACCAGTCGAGATATAAAAAATAAATAAATAAAAATTGAAGCTACAAGTTAAAGCATTACCACAGTGAGTGCTGATGCTACTAATGGAGCTATCAACTTTAGATCTTGATGACATACAGCTGCCAATAAACCTCAATTTAATCCAACACCCGGTCTCCTCCTCAGAGTCACCATCTTTCTTCTTTCTCCCCTTTGATTTCCCCACATCCCAAGACTCCTTCTTCAATGCATCACCACCTAATCCCATGTTTTACAAAACCCAAAATCCTAGCCCACCTCCCTCCACCTGGAAAAACCTTTACCAAATAACCCTTCACTTCCAGTATTATTTCCTCCAGCCCCAAGAATCACCTAAAATTACTCAAATCATTTCAGAAATTAGTCAAATGTAGGAAAAAAAAAACAGAAAAGTACTTTTCAGCCATTCTGTAGAAAACCCAAATAGAGCAAAAGAAAACAAAATATCTCTTCCACTCCAAGAGCTAAGTTCTAGTCAAAAAACGTCAAAGTATAACAAAATAGCTCAAACCCAGTTCTAAACATCAGCTAAAATAGCAAATAAAGACAACCCATATAGCTTCAAAGATTCCACAATATCTCTTCCATTACAAGGCCAAATCTTTTCAACAAAATACAGAAAAATTAGATTAAATAAATAACTCAGACCCAGTTGAAAAAGATGAGCAGAAAAACACATTAGGCTCCTCTAGAAGAACTCAGTGATTGCAGATCACATGCTTGACCTTCAAAGCAGAAGAAAACTTTGCCCTTGCCACTGTGCAAAAAGTGAAGCTGGAATCAGATAATCATAATTATTATTATTAATTCTTATAAAAATCCCAGTTCAAAAGTATAGTGCTATTACTCTTCCACTATTTACCAGTTGTCTATTCCTAGACACCACTACGGGAAAGTCCGTTCTCGAAAACTTTTAAAAAATCTCAATATAAAAAAAAGGGCTAAAATATGGTGGCCAGTTCAACGCTTAAAGAATTACTATATATTTTACAGCATATAATTTTTTTTTCCTTTTTTTGCAATGTGAATATGTACATGCAAGAATGAAATTTATTGCCAAATAAAAGAAAATAAAGCAAATTCTTTAAAAAAAAAAATGTGAATTATCGGTTCCTACTTTATTAATAGGATCAAAGACCCAAAAAGTAAGTGGAGAGCTGCCCGGAGAACGCGGGTAAGGAGTTGAAATACCAAACATACCCCTCAAACAACTCTTTTATCTCCACGTTGATGTAAATAGTAAGGTTAAATTATAGAAAAAGAGAATTTGGAAACAGAATTTGGGACTGCGGGCAGTAGAGGGAAACTTGAGGGACCCACCAGATGATGACGTGTTAATTCTTGATGTACGTGCAACCAGTAGCGTCAGCGGCGGTTTGTCCTTCATCGATGCCGTGCATGCATTTTTGTTCTCCTCTCTTTTTTCTTTTTTTTTCCTTCAATTAAATATATATTTATAGGTTGAACCCCAACTTTAAAGGCCCCCACCGACCCTGTCCTGGACCATCGTGGAGGAGGTAAATCGCAGGATGTGCCTCCCAGGAGACAAGGTGGAAAGCATATGGATAGGCCAAGACTGTTAACCCATATGGTAACTCCCGCTTGTAACAAAGCCAATTCCACCTTGCGGAGAATCGAACTCTGCACACTGCCACGCTGAACCCTATCTGCCCTCCCCTTTGCCACTGGGAGATATGCCCTGGGGACAATTAAATATACATTTATAATTTAGACGAGAGAAAGATTGTTAGAAAAATCAAAGGGGATAATGATGTCATGTGGTACAGTGCAATGAAAGATATAGATAAAAGTGTACACGTAACATAATTCTTTTTCATTTTTTTTTCTCTCTGTCTTGTATGTGGAACTTAAAAGAATAATGCTATTTGCTACAATTAAATATACATCTATAATTTAGGCAAGAGAAAGATTGTTAGAAAAATCAAAGCGAATAATGATGTCATGTGGCACAGCGCAGTGAAAGATGTAGACAAAAGTGTTTAGGTAACATAATTCTTTTTCATTTTTTTCTCTCTGCCTTGTATGTGGAACTTAAAAGAATAATGTTATTTGCTATCATTTTATATAACATATATATGACATGTGATTATTTGATGCATAAATGAGTAACTCCGAATATTATTATTCAACTTAAAATCCAAATTATTTGCTATTTTGTAACTTTAGAAACGCTAATTCACAATAATATATCTATTTAGGGTAATTAGGGAAAAAAAAATCCATATTGTCTACACTCATTGTGAAAATAGTTCATGTCGTTTTAAACTTAGTATTTACACATTCATATTTAACTCTTTTTGCGAAAGTGATCCTCTCCGTCATGTTCCGTTAAATCATTCTGTGATATATGGGTGATTGGCACAAAATGTCCCTACTGTTTACCGTCATTGCAAAATCATCCCTATATTTTTAATTTTGACATTTAGACACTCAGATCGATCTTTCTTTACCCAAAAGATTTTTATCATCTATTTTCTCTATTAAAGCATTATAAAATGATTAATTTACTCTACTCTTTAAATAAATAAAATAGAAAAGAAATAATAATATAAAAAAGTTTCATCTAGAATTTCAAATTTGTTAAAAAGTATAATCGAATCTCAAATAAAACAATTTAAAACGTTTTTGCAAAAATGAATATTTTATTTTTCCAATTAACTCACCTACTCCTACGTCCATGGTGGTGCTGATGGCCGATGGCATGGTGTAGAATTTGATAAGAAATAAGCACCATTTGTTTATTTTTAAATTTTTTTCTATTATTAAATTATTATTATTATTATTATTATTATTATTATTATTATTATTATTAT